TTGTTCTGTTCTTGTTATTATTTGGTGATTTCTGGCTGATATTTGATATAATTTGGGAAAGGTAGATGAAGAATGCAAGAGAAGGAAAAGGGCAGAATGAGAGAGTGTTAAAGAGATGTTTTGGAATTGTTAAATTTTTTCTTCTACCTTTTTTCCCGCGCCTTACACCTATTTTTGTAGTTGCAATACCAAAAGTCCAAAATCCATTCCCATATCATGGTAATATTAAGGTCCAAGCCTCTTACCAACTCTAATAGAAAAAAAAAAAACAACTAAAGAGGAATTATTTAACAATCTAATCCAACGCCAGCACTTCCCTCCCAGGCGGTGTGAATTGCACCCTTACATAGTTACTGTAAGCACAATTGCATCTTTACTACTTGAAGTGAATGAAGAGTTAAATGTTATGGATGTTTAAGGTTCAGGACTAGCAGTTTGCTGTAAGAAGTTCCATATAAGTTGATGTTTGCGGCAGAAGGAGGTACTTTAACTCAAGGTGTTCTGTGTTAGGTTCAGTTTTATTGGTGCTGTTATTAGCTGAGATGATTTTCTTATAGGTTGGCAATGAACTCGTTAAATCAGTTGGTTGGATGTCTTCCTTTTGATCAGGAGAGATTGAAGGTTGTTTGAAGTATGATCCATGAGGGTGGTTTTATAGGTTGAATTTTATATATGGAGAAAGAAGATTTTAGTGTGTATTCGTGAATAATAAGTTAGTTATACTTATTGTTATTTTGATTAATAGAGCTCTTTAACTCCAAAGAGATCCATAAAGGGTTTTATTTTTATTTTTATTTTATTTTTATTTTTTTTATTTTATTTTATTTTTATTGGGACTTTCTTGGTGAATTGCTGTTTAGCTGTATCATACCTGATCTTTTTGTGTCTGTTGTGCATCAAGTGACTCCATTGTGTTGTTTTCCCTTCTCTGGACCGAGGAATATTTTCATTTTAGTTTGATATCTTTTGCTCACTTTGATGGTACAAAACATGCATATATATATATGTATAATATAATTCCTATATGTGGGAGGCAACTCGTTGGTGCATTAAGTGAGAAAATTTCATGTTTCTGTAGAAAAAAAAAATTATTTATTGTGATATTATCTCATAATTTCACATTGTGCATTAAATTTGAATTCGTTCTCTCTGAATCCATTGGTTAACTCAGGAAGCTATTGCTGGAAAATGCAATGTTGTCTGCATCTCAAAGGACAGCAGAAATCCACAACCTTCAGCTGAAGAACTTGAAGCAGCGGATTATGTCTTTTACCGCGTATTTGATGTCAAGAGCTGTACGGTATCAGATCATATGGATGATAAGGTTGGCGGGCTTGAAGGTATGCTGGTTTTACATATTTTTCCGTAGTTATTATGTGTTTGAACTAACATAAGAGGAGGCAGGTTGGTCATTATTTCTTTAATGCCCGTGATTGTTATCAATTAGCTCATGCATTTGTCATTTTTGTTACAGTCAAGTATGTATTTAACAAAGGAGAGAGTGTTAGGACCCCTGCTGTTCCAAATCATAATCCGAGTGGCAGAGAAATACCTGAAGTTGCAGTTAATGGAGCAAACTATGTGAAACAAGGTGACAATGCAAAGGGGACACTGGTGAAGAAGGGAAATTTACCTGGAGATGGTCCTGGTCCTTCTGGAGTTCATGTTAATTCCAGTGATATAAGAAAACTAAAAGATAATTCCATAGAGAAGCAAAGTATGCTGGGGGAGAAAAATATTGGGAGCAAAGCTGGCAGTGAGAAAGATAAGTCTAAGGACATAAAGTCGCCTACCAGTCAGGTTAAAGTGGAAGAAAGAGTAAAATATGCGAGAAATCCTGGTGACTTGGATGGTACACAACCGAAGAAAGCTAGACTTGATGGTACACTTCCATCATTGGAGGTCAAAGACGTAGGTTGTGTACAAAGCTTAACTAGCCCTGGAAAGGATGCTGTGAATTTGGTGACTGGTGTCCCTTCAGCTTATACAAATTCACAATCAGAACTTAACAAGAATTTGGACAGATCAGGGAAAGATGGCAATTTGGCTGGGAAGTCGGGTGATTTAAATGAAAAGTTGCTAAAATCCGCCGAATTAACCAAAGATTTGGAGGGGGATGGAAAAGATGCCAAATTAAAGAAAGATGTAAATGCTTCGCATGGGAAGCCATCAAAAGATTCTGCCGCTACGGAAATGGGTAAAGAACTCGGCGAAAATTTGAGTGCTCGCAAAAGGCTACTAAATATTGATGTTGTTCCCGAATTGGTTAATAATCCAAATGCTTCCACGCAAATACCTTTGAAGCAAACACCTAATGGAGGAAATACTCCATATGATAACGACACTAGAATCGCTTATGATTCAAGCCCTTTAGGAGGACCCCCAACAAAGAAAGGCAAATTTGATGCTAATGCCAAGAATTCTATAGATTGCAAGAACAAGAGCAATGAGAATATGAAGGATAAAGCTTCTCCAAGTGAAGCAAAGAATTCGCCGAAGCTCAAGGATCATAACGATATGGCAAAATCAAAACTTATCAAAGGTGGTCCCAAGGAGAATACAAATGTCGAGGTTGGCAAGCCTCCTAGAAAAAGCTTGTCCACTCCGACAACACGTAATGGTAGCGATGGAAAAGTCGAAAGCCGTACATTTGAAGTCACTCGAAGACCCATTATTGTAAGTTAAGCCTCAAGTCTTGTTATGTTCTTTGGAATATCATATTAGTTTAGTAGTTTGCCCCAACTTGGTCAAAAATCATTCTTATACATTACGAGTGGTGTGCTCTTGGTTGGGCAATAGTTTATGGTCAAACTAAAAATTGTTGGTCACGAGTTAACTCAAATAAAAAAATGTGGATTCGTAAGAACTCATTTCTTACTAGCCAACAGTTTATGATGAGATATAAAGCTATAATGGTGATTGTGGAAAAGTTGCAAATTAGCATTTGAAGTCTCATTGAAAGAGCTTTGAGCTTTAAGAGCTAAAATGTTTTTTGGTTTTTTTAAATTACACTTGTCATGACAAGTGGATAATCTTTTGTATACATCATGTTTTCTTGAAAGAAAACCATCAAGGATGTGCCTACTATGCATTGGATGGCCAATGCTTTTGAAGTTAGTAAAAAGATTTGTTGAAGAACTTACATTTGAATTGGGAAAATTTGATGGAAGGATTTCTCATGTTTTAAGATAAAATAGATGTGATATCTACAAAAACTTAAAAATTGCTTCTAGGGTTTCTTGAAAATTTGTTACGAAAAACCTTAAGTTGTTAGAACTTAAAAATTCTTCACAGTCCGAGTAGTAATAACCTAAATGGGCAATTTTTGGGCAATTTTATATGCCTTCAAATCTTGAGATTTATCCTTGATCAGTGTTATCAAATGGTGTCCATGGCGGAGCCGTGACAGTATGGCGTGGCGGATTTTTGACAATTCGCCCCGCAAAATTTGTGACGCATGGCGGTGCCATAGGCCGCAACGGCGGCGCTGTGGAATTTTGGCAAACCGCCATGAACCACCATCCGACAAGGAGATTTTGCTTTGAAATGAGTTTAATTCTCCTCATCACCAATGGAACCTCACTTAGGTGCTTTTAGGTCCATCCTCTAATCATGTGTTAACACACTTCTATGGGGTCGTAGTGCTTACCCCGATTCTACAACTCTAACATTGTATCAGAGTAGACACGATCTAGATCTAGGACTTATGATGACTGCTAATCAAGCTTAATTTGGGATTGTTGGAGAAGAATTTACAAGTAAGGGGCTGTGTTTCTCTTCAACAAATAGGGAAATTGTGTGAGTTTATAAGCCTACTGGGCTAGTTTTCATCAATTAGTTTTGGGTAGTTTTGTGATACAACCTCACTTGAGTGCACGTAGGCTCACCCAATGTGCTTCACTTCCATGGGACCATACCCCTTCCCTCGAATCTATAACTCTTAACACATGTCATGCCTTATAATTAATCTTTTACCCTTGCGTATGAAAAATATGTTCGAGTCCTATCCATTTTTGTCACACTACAAAAACCCCTCTTTTTGTGCTTGCAAAAACTTTTCATCCCTACCTGTGTTATCAAATGGTGGAGCCTGCATAGCAGAGTTTTGACGAATCGCCATACTAAATTTGTGAAGGATGACGGATGTGACGATGCCAACGGCCACCACGACGACCGTTATGGTGGAATTTTGCCCTGCCATTAACAACATATCCCTACCCTTCAAAGTAAAAGAATTTATAAATGAGAGTATATCATAACGGCACAATAAGCTTTTTAGATTAACACATATATCAATAGTGTTATCAAATTTAGCACAGTAGTAGTCATAATTTAGCGTGACGGATTTTTTACGAACCGCCATGCTAAATTTGTGAAGGATGGTTGTTATGGCGGTAGCCTGTGAGGACTGCCATCCGCCATTAATCACATTGTATATCATGTAATCTTATGATAATTATAATATTAGTGCATCAATTTATTTTAGGGTCTTCAAAGTCCTAAAGCTATGGAGGTCTAACTTGTGCAACAAAACTTGAATATCCAATTTTAAAAGTATACATATATGATATATAATTTAATCTATTTAAATTTTAATAAATATTCCATTTTGTTGAACGACAATTTTTTAGATAGCTAATGAAACAACAATGTCCTAGCATCAAGTCTTTTTGTTGTACATTCTCTTAGGCAACCCAAACCAAGTATGAAGATATCTCGAACTATAGCAATGCCTCTAGACTAGATATGAGGGATCGTAGGAAATGTTTTTGGAGGGTGTATGTCTTACTAAGTAGAT